TGATGACAAGTTTAATATTGGGGTAAACTATCCCTCTAGCACATTTAAACAAGAGATAAAAAAAAAAAAAATACTTAAATAAAAGAATGACAAAGAGTGGAAAGAAAATGCCAAAGAAATCCCAGGTTAAGGTAAATAAAGAAAGAAGGAAGGAAGGAGGAAGGAAGAGAGACATATTCTAATGCAAAGGCTGATTTACAGCAACCTTTCATAAGAGTGAATGACTTGGTCTGAATTACACAGACACAGAAAGGTCTCCTTCCTGAATGAGAGGACGAAACAGAAGGAGAGGAAGGGCTGGAGGGGGCGAGCAACAGTCAAACACACCCATATGTGAACTGTGGGTCATCGACTCAGACACATGTTCTGTTTGAGTGTGCAGTAATGACTCTGTTCTTCATGTTCCTCTTCAAGTTCTGTTTTCTCCTTCTGAAAGTGTGCGGAGGCTTGTTTTGCAGTGAGGTGAGACTCCATTAGCAGTGTGGTAAGAGTCAACAAGCGCAAGTACAGCTGCAGTGGCCCACCTGGATAAGTGTTCCCCTCTCAGCCCTTTCCAGGAAACTGTTCATAGACAGCTCTTATCCTGAATAATCAGCACAGGCGACAGAAAAGCTCCAGAATGCATGCATTTTCTTGTATTTGTGCTTTGCTGCTACTTGTTTCCTATATCCTTTCAAATCAGTTGTTTTCTGGCAGCAAACCAAAACAGCATGCTGACACATATAAGATGGTATGAGGCCGGTCGAGTTTTGCATGTTGCAAACCACATCAACCCCTTGCAATGTGCGTCTGTGTGCACCAAAGGCGTTTCTCCCCAAGGAGGCAGGGAGGCAAGGCCTTCACAGCAAATTTCTGATGAGAAATAATCAACAGTACAAAAAAACCCCTAAATAAATATTACGAAATATGAGATCAAATGACTTTCTTCTAAAGCAATATTGTCCTTAAGTAACACTGGCTGATCAAGTTTCAGACAGAAACAAACAGGTCGTTTGCCTCCTTTGAGATCAGTGCATTCTCAATGAAGTGCAAAAGTGTGGAAATGGAAGGTTAATTATAAAGTAAACAGCTCATTCACTCTGACATCACTTTCACTTGAGTTGGAATCAAAAAATATGTATATTAAAAAAATAAAATAGATCTGTTTATTATATATAGCGATCGTGTTTCTTCTGAAGACTTGGACTAAACTGCTCAATTCATATGGATTACTTTTACAATGTCTTGTTTTTAAGCCTTACAGTTTTGGTGGAATAGACTTTCAATGCAGGGACAGAATTTAAATTTTGGGGAGAGGATTTGGTTTTAATGTATAATATGTGACCCTGGACCACAAAAGCGGTCTTAAGTCGCACGGGTATATTTGTAACAATAGCCAACAATACACTGTATGGATCAAAATGATTGATTTTTCTTTTATGCCAAAAATCATTAGGATATTAAGTAAAGATCATGTTCCATAAAGATATTTTGTAAATTTCCTACCGTAAATATATCGAACCTTAATTTTTGATTAGTAATATGCATTGCTAAGGACTTCATTTGGACAACTTTAAAGGCGATTTTCTCAATATTTAGATTTTTTGCACCCTCAGATTCCAGATATTCATATAGTTGTATCTCGGCCAAATATTGTCCTATCCTAACAAACCATACACCAATGAAAAGCTTTCAGATGATGTATAACTCTCAATTTAAAAAAATTTACCCTTATGACTGGTTTTGTGGTCCAGGGTCACATATGCTAATATACAGTACACATACTAAAATTATAACAGCAACAGTTATTTGTTTATAGTGTCATATAAATGCTGTTCCATATGCCTTTAATCTGGAAACAGTGTAAACAAATGGAAATGTAGTTTAAATTGGATTAAAATTCCAAACTCAGAGAGAAGACTTTGCCTCCACATTTCAGAAGACCACCACACGCCACTGGTGTGCATGCACATGTGTTCTGATGGGGTGTGTGGGCTTTCGTGTGACAAACATTGGATAGACGTGTGAGGAATGAAGAAATGAGAAGGGGAGGAGAATGCGATCAGTTTCGGGAGAGGACAAGCAAAAAATTAAGTGAAAAACATAAGGAGGAAATTAATGAGGGGGAAAAAATTAACTTACATGTGGCACTTACATGTGAAAGAAGACTTGCATGCATAGTTTAAAAGTAGTCAAGACTGCTTACAAGTGTAAAAGTAGTATAATGCTCGAGTGTTGTGGCTGGTTGCCAGGCCATTTCTATGCGGTTTCTGGGTGTTCTGAGCATGTTGCTAAGTGGTTGGTATGTATGATTCTACATCCTCCCCAGGGGCCCGTTCTTCTTACGTTGCTAACTCAGTTAGCTGGATTTGATTGTTGACGATTTGGCATGATCTCGGGAGCAGGCTTATTTCATGTAAACAGGATTAGATTGCATCTTTTTAAGTGGAACTGATGTTTAAAATCTGTCCCAGCCACAGTTACCTTATTACAAGTGTACCCTACTAATCCGGGGGCAATCATTTAAAATAATAATAATTAAAAAAATGTATTTGAAAATAATATTATAATGTTGCGTAATCTATAATACTGTAGACGCAGCCAATTTTACTCATTGAAAGATTTATTCGTGATAAAATAATAACTTTATAATTGTATTAGAGTCTTACACACATGCTGTACAGTTAATCTGAGTCGTGCATTAATTTGAATGGTGACAGCTATTATGGGAGTGGCTTGCTGGAGAGCAGGAGATGCAGATAACTTGATCCTGACCCTTAAGCAACTTTAATTAATGCTGTCACATAACAAATCTGCTTCAAAGATAAAATTACATGAATTGCTAATTACAACATTGAACTAAAGGTGTAAAGCCTGTACAAATCATGAATATAAATAATCGGGAATCATGTAAAAAAAAATTAATAAAATAAAAACAGTGCACATTTAATTTATCTATTATTACACTTATGTAGTTTTGTTCACTTGACTGTTTCCTTATAAAGGTCCAGAAATTTGTCAAGCTTTTCGTCAGGTGTCTTTTTTAATTATATGATGTTATTCATTACGTTGCTGTCTCGCCGCCAGCCAGTCGCTGCATTGCTGATCGTGGTTTAGAGTATAGATACATCTGCCCTTTACGGGGAACACACAGTAATCTTTGACAACTTAATCCAGATATTTTCATCAAATCCGCAAATTCGTTTGAAGAACCAAATTAGCCAGAGATCAGTTATCATGATTAGAAGATCTGGCAACTTTCAAATCATCTCAGATGTATTAAGCGAGGTACGAAGAACGGGCCCCAGAAGCCTGTAATCGGTAAGTGAGCGCAGCGCCTCATGGTACCATCACAGAGAGACAACAAGATCACTTTCCAGAACATTTTCATTTACTGTTCCTGGCTGGTGCAATGATCTTTCTCATCCTATCAGGACAGCCGAATCTCTGACAATATTCAAGAAACAACTGAAATCTAAGGGTAATCTAAGGAAATTTAAGGGTACTGCTCCAGGGACAAGATGTTGTACCCCAAAAGGTACCATTTTAAACCCCTTTTTTCTGTGTGTTCCATGAGCAACAAGAAACACACACACTTGTTTTTCTATTCTTTCTTCTAGCTAGAAACTTTGTATTGCTAGCACTTCTCGTGTCAATACCTCTCCTTATGATAAATCACTTGTTGTATTCCTCATTTCTAGGTTGATGTGGATAAGAGTCTGCTAAATGAATAGGCCTAAATAAAAATGTAAATTCTGTGGTGTTCTGGTTGGTTGCTTACTAGCTCAAGTAAAAGCAGACCAAAAAATGTAACACAAAATTGCTCACATTCTTCAACACCTGTGCGTTTACTAGGCTAAATGTTTTGTCAAAATATTCCTTCAGCAAAAATAAATAAATAAATGTTAAATTACCAGCATCGCTTAACTTGTTTAGATTCATTCGGTATATATTTTCCAGAAAATGTGAAAAAAAAAATATATATTATTTCATAGCTTGATCATGAGTCTCTACACACAAAAACACACTGCCTCAATTAGGAGATTTAGGGAACCATAAAAACGTAAACAACATTAATATTATTATACGTGGAGCAATTCCCTTCACAGGATGTGCCCAGCTCATGTGTACACATGCGCAGCAGACATGACTAAACATGCACAACTCCTTTCTTCCTCAAAGTCAAATAGTCTCTTAAACACACAAAACACAGCTTGTCACACTTGATATAGTCAAAACGATAATATTTAACTTGTGGGCTTAATAGTGTGAGATTTCCAGATTTACCACAGCTCATACAAACACACATACGTTTGGTGCCTGCTAAACAGAGCAGTTAGCACGAGTACATAATGAAGGATGAAAAAGAGGAGGGAAGACAAAAGTGGAAAGAGACAGCAAGTGGGCCATCGGTAACAGAAGTAGACTCTAGTGTTCGTCAGTTGTTCTGTGTTTTTCCTGTGATTTTTTCCTCTCTGCCTACATGGTCTCTACTTTATGTGTGCCTCAGCGTGCCTGGCGTCACTTCTCAATATTTGCCTCCATGTTATCTCCTTGTTTGGCCTCCGTGTACGAAACGTCTCTCCGCTCACGCACAGTTCGCCCTCCCCTCTCAGAATTATCCTCCTACACCAGCCAATCCCTCACTCAGTCACCCTGCGTGTCCAAGTCACTGCTGTTTTTCTGCTCCATTGAGAGAAATGCTTGCAGTTCACACAGTTAATCACAAACCCTAAAAACTTCCTGTGGAATTCCCTTGGAGAGAAAAAGATGCATATTATAGTTCCTGTGAATCCTCTGTAAGACTGGTTTGTTTAGACAGAGGATATGTTCATTCCAAACCAAAACCATGCTTACTGGGTTTGGACATTTATGGTCCCGCTTGAAAAACATGCAAGGCAGCTACATCTGTCTGTCTATCTCTCTCAAACACACAAGTAGGATTTGTCACTATTTCTTATGTTTGACTGTGTCTATGTCCTCATGGCTCCAAAATATTCCCCTAACTACAACCCTCGGTGCTCACTTTCACCAAAGACAACGGTCAAGCGGAAGACTGAGGATAAATTTGCAAGTCAAAGCTCACAGCTAGCTGATTTGCTCAGGTGCATCAGTACTACAACACTGTCTTCACTGAACTACATGCAAGGTCTTAATATACACATTGTTTTTTTAATGTAAGTAAATATACACATTTTTTAATGTAATTTATTCCTGTAATGGTAAAGCAGAATTTTCACTAGCCATTATTCCAGTCGTCAGTGTCACACGATCCTCTAGAAATCAGTCAAATTTGCTGAATTGGCACTCAAGCAGCATTGTTATTATTCTTAATAATATTGAAAACAGTTGTGGAAACCATGATACATGTTTTTTCAGGATTCCTTTTGATATATATAAAGTTTGAAAGAACAGAATTGATTTGAACTAGAAATATTTTGTAACATTAGAAATGGATTTACTAATATCACTTTAGATCAAGTTAATGCGCCCTGCTGAATAAGTGTTATGTTTTTTTAAATAGCGAAGCCTTTTCTACTTTTAATTACATGACTACATTAAGTTGCTAAGTTGGGTGCTGTAATCAGGAGATATTATGAAAATTCTGTTGTCACTAATTTCAGGTGTATATTTAGCAATGCAACACAATGTTAATTTTCATAAATAACCAAACTCTAAGTGAGCACAGTGAGATTAATCAGTCAGAAGTGGAGTGACAACTGTATTTAGCTGCAGTGTGTATGCAGCCAGAGAGGCAGCGGTCTTGATGAAGGGGATTAAGTTTAGCTGCAGTCCATTCCATGATCAGTTGGGATCCTGTCCAAGTCGGCTTTCAATCCCAGACTAGCCGAGTTTTGGGAAATGGTTCATTGAATGTTTAAAGGTGCACTAGAGCATTGCGTCTTACTGTCTGACTCGCACCGGTTCATTCTGAGAATTAGATCATGTATTATAGATCATTAGATCACATCAGTAGCCACAATGTTTGACTACAGTTTCCTTCAGACAGAAGGAGAGATTAACAGCACACAAGGAGGGTGGTAAAGAGGCAGAGCTGAACAGAAAGACACTGTTGCATCAACCTCTTCCTCGTTGAAGTCTGACATTCAGCACCATGTGGAACTGAGCCCTGTGCCGTTTCATTTCCTCAGTGCAAATCATCAGAGACACAACTGCACAGTGACAGCATGCAAGGCATTAAAGGGATTTAAACACACAGCAGACTGTTACTTCACAAAACAAAAAGCCATACCATCACTGAAAGAGTTCAGGCCCTGACCTGACATAATTACATATTGTGAGTTTGTTTGTTTGCTCAACTTAAAAGCTTTTCTCCATGTCTGTGTTATTTAAAGATCATTCAAAATACATTATGCCATCAGAAACGCTATGTGACTTATACCTTTCATCTTAGAGATAAAACATAACACTGTCTCTTACGTAACTTAACAGCATTTACCTGTGATCTTTGAATATGCCATTAATAATCCACCTATTTTTGACTACACTAAAATGGGCTTAACGACCCCCTTAAGGAAAATAATTTTTATCTAGACAAAAGTGTATTATGATAGAAAAAATATATATTTATTATTTTGTTATTTTAAATTATATATTAGATTAAATTATATAAATAATGAGTAACACTATTTGAGTAACAAGAAAGTTTAAATAACTTTGAGACACAAATTCCTGGTTAGTTTCTTCACTTTTGGAATTTCATAATCTCACATATTTTATTAAAACTTCTGTATTATTCTGCTGTTATTTAATTAGCAGTGTACATAATAGAGCTACAATAAAAAACGGAAATCAATTTCCATTGTGATTGTATCATGGGTCCACTTTGCGCACACAATGCAACAAATCCATTTATCCCCACTTACGCAAAAATTATTTGTTACAGTAACTATAGCTGCCACAGCATTTTAAGTATTCAGCACTAGTGTATCTGCTGCTATGTAGTATTTTAAGGGAAAAATATATCCAAGAGGCCCTTTTACATTGGATGTGTCTTTAGATCCAATATAAGTGATGGGCTAAAATATATTACAACAACAACAACAATAACAAAAAATCTGGGTCGTATAGTTCATTTTGTTTATTAAAACAAATAAAATAAAATAAAAATAATAAAAAGAGTATTTATAGCATATTCTTTAACAAAAATAGGTCAAAAATTGCCTATAGACAATAGAAGGTTAAATTGCCTTTCTGGACTATTATGTCCTTAACTATAGCTATGACCTCAGATAAGGATATAATAAGACCTCATTATAGTTAAATGCAGCTAGTTATTTATTTATGAGCGCCTCTAAAGACAGGCTCATCTGCCAATGGATGCACTAACACACACTCTCCAAATGAAATGCTGTTTTCTATCTACAATGGTCAGAACAGTTCTATAATATTGAAGGTTTACGACAGCCTCTCTCTCTCTAGACACACACCTGTAGTATGTCTAGAGTTAGCCCAATACAAACCACTCAGCATTTATGGGCTGCTTAAGTTAATTATTAATGACTTTTAAGACACGAAGTGCATCAAGTTGTACAGGCCACTTTCTCCTTACTCAACGTTGCTCTTATCAAAAGGTGTTGGCTCTTTGAACTCCAGTTAAGAGCAGTGGGGATCTGCTAAATTAGTGCTCAGTGATTTGATCAAATAATGGAAAAGAGGCGAAGATTTTCTCCCCGCCCCCTCCCCCTAATCCTTCAACATAATTACAACTGTAATGGCTGTTCAATGCGAGATTTGAAACATGATCCGTACACACACACACACACACTCACTCACAGACCCTTGTTGCCAGGAGATCAACTACGCGGAAGAATTCAGAGGAGATGGTGATTTCTTGTAAACATGCAGTGGTGTATAAAGTACCTGAAAGCCATACTAAAGTAAAAGTACAGATATCTTATCAGAAAATGACTTTGGTAGAAGTTGAAGTCACCTTTTAGAATATTACTTGAGTAAAAGTCTTAAAGTATGTGATATTTATTGTACTTAAGTGCGAAAAGTATTGAAAGTAAAAGTACAAGTAAGTGCAAAATGGAAAAGAGGCAAATAAATATATAAAAATGAGTTAGCAAGATTGAGTAGCAAGATTCTGGAATCTGCATCTGACATAGCATTTAGATGTATTTACACAGTTTATGTATCTCAGAGGGGACATGGATGCATTTAAACTGCAGTTACAGATGCATAAATAGGCCTAATGTTTTGTTTTTAACATAAAACATTGAATACTGATATTTGAAATAATTTAAAACATGAACAAAAATAGTCGAAATGTGAAATTAAAACCGCCAGTAGGTGACAGCAAGTGACTGTTAATGAGTGAGTCATTGAGATTCAACCGATTCATTCAAACGACTGATTCATTTAGAAACAAAGCATTCGACTGTGTTAATGAGTGAATCACTGAATCATTTATTCAACCGATTCGTTCAAAAAGCTGATTCATTCAATAAGTAAACACCATCCATTGCTCAGAGACGCAAAACAGTGCTGTGATCTTTGTTTGGAACTATTTTCGTTAGCAAAATTGAGCAAAAACAAGCAATATTATGTCTAAAATATAGCCTAAGTCACATTGCTTTATTGAACTTGTATAAAATTATTATTAAATGTGTTCATGCTGATATCTGCAGAAAAACGGTACTCTTTGTGTGATATTGATTAAGTTAACTATATTAAATTATATAAATATAAAAAGTATACAGAAGCATTTTTGCCGTCTACAATTTAGAATGCCTTGAATTTTGAGTTTTAATAGACTAAATCAACGTGCGTGCGTGATCTGATGATATAGCCTACTTGATAATGTCAGATCGCACACCATTACAACAACACTTCCCATATTATCGCAGACGATGCGATATCGCACACCCCATCCTCGACTTGAGTGGAAAATTAATCATCCGCGGTTGTGCACACACTTGTTTGCACATGAGCAAAGGTGTTTTTATGAGTCTAAAGCCGGGCTCACGCTGTGCGATTTTTTAAAAGTCCTTTAGGATTGTACTTGTCAGACTGTACGAACATGATCATGTCACACAGTGGGATCTCAGTTGTCATTAATGTCAGACTGTACGACAGTCAAGACGTGTTAAAAACGGGTGCGTGCAAAAAAACTTGTCATCAACCTATACATGTTCAGTGAGCTGCATTGCATGCGGGGCTGTAATGTTAACTATCATTAAAAGTATATGAATGGCGGCAATACCGGCGTATTTATGCAGAATAGTGCAAGCAGCACTACACATGTGGGATCTCAGTTGTCATTAATGTCAGACTGTACGACAGTCAAGACGTGTTAAAAACGGGTGCGTGCAAAAAAACTTGTCATCATCCTATACATGTTCAGTGAGCTGCATTGCATGCGGGGCTGTAATGTTAGCTATCATTAAAAGTATATGAATGGCGGCAATACCGGCGTATTTATGCAGAATAGTGCAAGCAGCACTACACATCCACATGAAATCAGCAGTGCAACTGGTGTTTATCATAGCAAATCAGATGAATTCCGTGAGTGGAGGACGAGAGCGCCGGAGTTTATGCGGTTAGAAGAAATCTCTAGCATAAATTCTGATCATGGCTTGTCTTGAAAAACGAAGACAGTTTCACGTTCGTCGTAGGAGAAGTCACACTGCAGGACTGTGCGCCAAATCTTCTGACACTGCCAGAAGTTCGTCGGAGGTCAAATTTGATCGCAACCAGGGCTGGATTGGTATTCAGGCATACCGGGCATCGCACTTAAGGGGCCGACAGAATGTTTTTTTTGCCAAGGACCATCACACAGGGACAGCGAGCAGCCAGTGGCCCATTGGATTGTCTCCTGTATAGACAGCGTAAACATCCAATCACAATGCGCTATAGACAGAGCGATGAAGTACTTTGCTACGCCTATATGAAGATCGCTTCACTCCAACTTCTTCCTCGTCGGCTTTTCCCACGTTTTCACAGCAGATTTATCAAGAACAGGCCTGCTCTGCGGTAAATGTGAGGCTGGACAAAGAGCCAGGCAGGAGGAGGAGACGCCTATATGAAGAATCGCTTCACTCCAACTTCTTCCTCGTCGGCTTTTCCCACGTTTTCACAGCAGATTTATCAAGAACAGGCCTGCTCTGCGGTAAATGTGAGGCTGGACAAAGAGCCAGGCAGGAGGAGGAGAGGAGAGTAGTTGAATCGGTAAAGTGCATGATAGGGACTCGCAACGGAGGCAGACATCTAACCTATCCCTAATGTGTGTGCGCGCCATGAATGTAGAATACGTACACTCTTTTTAATCAAATGTAAATTCGTCCCCCTCGCTTTTTTGGCCAAGTCAAGTCAAGTGTGTTCATAGAGGTTTCCATGGGCCAATGCGAATAAATCTAGATTTAAATTTAGAAAGACACAATGTTTTATTCTTATTCAAAAATACTAGATGTGATATGAGTGTGATACATACATACATACACTACCAGTCAAAAGTTTTTGAACAGTAATATTTTTTTTATGTTTTTTAAAGAAGTCTTAAAATTCAGCTTTGAAATCACAGGAATAAATTACATTTTGAAATATATTCAAATAGAAAACAGTTATTTTAATCACTAAAAATATTCCACAATATTACTGCTTTTGCTGTATTTTGGATCAAATAAATGCAGGCTTGGTGAGCAGAGGAGACTTCTTTAAAAAGCATAAAAATCATATAGGCCTATATATAGAGAGAGAGAGGGAGAGAGAGAGGAGAGAGAGAGAGAGAGAGAGAGAAAGAAAGAAATTGGTGGTGGCCGCCTGGACCAAAAGATGCCTGAGCCGATTTTTTTGTCCCACTCCAGCCCTGATCGCAACGGTCATTAATCGGCTGTCGCTGAACATGTCAAACTAACGATCAAAGACTACAGATTTTAGCCTAGGATTATAGGAAACTTTTAGGATTTTCTAAATTTGTCTCAGACGACCAAATCGTGGCCAAAACTGCACAGTGTGAGCCGGGCTTAACTTGCAAACGCCAGACCACTACAGTCCGTGTTCTTCTGAATTCTGACTATTTTGAAGTAACTAATATGCTTGGGGGAAATGTATCGGAGTAAAAGTATACATTTTATTTAAGGAATGTAGTGGAGTAAAAGTTCGCTGAAATATAAAAACTCAAGTAAAGTACAGATAGATACTCCCAAAAAATACTTAAGTACTGTAACGAAGTATTATTACTTCGTTACATTACACCACTGTAAACATGGGTTTATGTTGCCATTAACCCCTTAGAAGAAATACTCAAGGGGTAATTATGTTTTCTGTTTCCAGTGAACAAATGTATTATTAACTTACTAATTCTAATTTGCCATCATATGTGCAGTAGTTATGTGATTCTCAAACTGTCCTGAACAAGGACATCTTACATTGATCTCTGTCAGTGCAAGGCAGGTGACTCATCTAGATACGTTCTGGAAGTCTACCTTCATGTAACATACCTAAATCAACTCATGATATCATTAATACATGCTCCAAAACCTGAAATGTTAAAACATGCTCTTATTTTATACATACAGCTACTATAAATAAACTTTACGCATGTGCTGTTCATCTGTGACTGTCTGATGGTACCTGTTGGTTCAAGTTTTTAAAAGTGTGATGTGTAAAATATTATTTATATTTTTATACAAACTGATATCATGTTAATCTCCTAATATCACTTACCTAATGCCTAACAGTTTTCTAACATAATGAGGGTGCTTTTGAACTTCTGCTCTTCCTTCAATGTGAAACAAAATTTAAAAGACCCCAACAACAAAGTTTGCTGTCTAATGGCACTAAGGATGGGGTTTAATAATCATGGATCAGAAAATGCATCTGATCCACGTGTTTTTGTCTGACACTAAACTGGTCTACAAATCAGTCGAGAAACTGTATTAAAGGGTTAAACTAAACTCCACATGCAACACGACTCGTGCATTTCAAGATCTTACACATTTAGCACACTTAGACAGACTGTTTGTTTCTCAGTAGATAATAATATTATGATTGTAAGCAGAACAACTTAAAGTATTTCGAACTTTAAGGTATGAAGAAAAAACAGCAAACAAAACACAAGTTGAGTGTTAATAATATGAGACTCAGAACACAAGAACTCGAGATCTAATGGAAGAGTGTTGAACTCCTGATCCTTGGTGTCAGATGTTCCCCTGTAAATTACTTCAACATGTAACACTAGTCGACTATCACGCCACATAAAATCACAGACAGGCGGACGGACGATATCTTCTTACCTCGTCCCATTTAATAAACTTGCTCCCCCGTTTGAGCACCTCATGGACAGACACCGGTTTGAGCTGCAACGCGTGAACTCCCGGTTTCGCCCCGGCCATGACTGCTGAATCGACGGGAGACGACGCCTCTGCTTCTCGGTTTGAAGTCTCTGACCTTCAGTGGACAGAACCAGAGCCCGACCCAATGCCTCGAGTCCGGCTGGCTCAACGCACGCAGGCGCGACTGTCACACATTCACGAGCGAGCGCAGTTTATGTCTTTAGCGATTGTTTATTCGTCTAAGCGCTTATCACGCCAAGGACTTGAATTGATATTTTCCTTCCTGTCCGTCCATCCGCTCGGTAATGATGAGATCCCAGTTCAGGGGAAACTTTCACTTGACTTTGGTCCCCGCTGGAATTTGCTCCTCTTTTCCTTCATGTTTTCTCCGAACTAAATGGGAGCGCGAGAAGGACAGGGAAGGAGAGAGAGAGAGAGTGTGAGCGAGAGAGAGAGAGAGAGAGAGAGAGAGAGAGAGAGAGAGAGAGAGAGGAGATCCCAGTTCAGGGGAAACTTTCACTTGACTTTGGTCCCCGCTGGAATTTGCTCCTCTTTTCCTTCATGTTTTCTCCGAACTAAAAGGGAGAGCGAGAAAGACAGGGAAGGAGAGAGAGAGAGAGAGAGTGTGAGAGAGAGAGAGAGAGAGAGAGAGAGAGAGAGAGAGAGAGACGGGGGGAGTAAGGAAGTGAAGGAAGAAAAAACGAACAGACGAGGGAGTGTTTTTCTTTTCTTTTCTTTCTGTTGTCATTCCAGTATTTAGAAACGTGCTGCTGGTATGTATCTAACATGAGGAATCATAGTTTTCGCTTTCCTCTTGTACAGATTTCCCCTCCGTTTATGCTTGTTTTTCCTCTTTCCAAGAAAGAATGTTGAACACGAATCGCGCTGTGAGCCAAAGAATTTGAGTTCTTATTAAAAAGCACAAACACAACTCATTAACTATATGGATATTACCCCTTAGCCATCATATAAAAGTACATTATATTACAAAATCACATTTTACTAGCTAGACAGAAAAAGGAATGTTGTTGCCATATGTGTAATGACATTACATTACAAAATCACGTTTTAATAATCCAAGTACTGACCAGGCTCAACCCTGCTCAGCTTCAGTGGCCAACCAGTCTTGGGCTACAGGGTGATATGGCTACTGGCCTATATATTTTGCGAGATGAGTGACAGCTGAATATATTTATGTTTTGCACATTTTCCTCTCTTTTTTTCGTAATTTGTTCTCCTGGTGGCTTACCCTCACCTTAGTGAAAGTGGCTTACGTGAAATAAAGTGAAAATTAAATGAGAAGTGCTGATTGCCGGCATTAGTTTAAATCTGCTCATGCTGCCATATTTTTCAGCGTTTTACAGCGGTGTATTATAACCAATCATATGATTCTGTTGAGCTTACGATGGCCAATCAGAGGCACCCAGATGAGTCATCGCTGAAACGCTGGAGTTTTGTTCAGTGCTTGCTAACATAATTATGCTCTCTGGCAAATTCTCTCATAAACAACAAAGTGCAGTTATACGTACAATAAGAGATTTATTCCAGAATGTAGACAGCTTCAATGATTATGAAGGGTGTTTTTTAAGAGTTTTAACTCACTATAGAGTGATATTCTTTAATAATTTAGGCCTAAATGTTCTTCTTTCACTTGCTGTATATAATTTAAATTCGCTGTTTGAATAACAGTGGGAATTAAGGCACAACTTACAGTGTTTTATTGAATTGTGATTACGTTAAATGCATATTCAGTATTATTAAAAATATTTTACATGAAACCCATATCTGGTATTTGCCTAAAAAGACGGGGTTGTGATGTGCACAGTTATTAGGCCACATTTATTAGTTATTATGCACTGGAGTTGGTTCACTCTCCGCCTGTGTGATTGAGTGAGAGAGTAGGCTACTTCTCCGGGCACACACTTCGAGCAGGTTAATTGACCTACACAGTGCAAAGCCTACTGACGTGCAGAGCAAATTAGCGGATAAAATCTAGTAATCCTAGAAGACCTTGATTAGCTGGATCAGGTGTGTTTGATTAGGGTTAATAATAATAATTAATTACATTTATATAGCGCTTTTCTGTGTACTCAAAGCGCTTTACATGAAAGCGGGGGAATCTCCTCAACCACCACCAGTGTGCAGCATCCACCTGGATGATGCGACGGTAGCCATATTGCACCAGAACGCCCGCCACACACCAGCTTATTGGAGGAGAGGAGACAGAGTGATGAAGTCAATCAGTGTATGGGGATGATTAGGAAGCCATGATGGTCAGAGGCCAATGGGCACATTTGGCCAGGATGCCGGGGTTATACCCCTACTCTTTTTCGAAGGACATCCTAGAATTTTTAATGACCAGAGGGAGTCAGGACCTCGGTTTAACATCTCAGCCGAAGGACGGTGCTTTTTACAGTATAGTGTCCCCGTCACTATACTGGGGTGTTAGGACCCACACAGACTGCAGGGTGAGCACCCCCTGCTGGCCTCACTAACACCTCTTCCAGCAGCAACCTAGTTTTCTCAGGAGGTCTCCCATCCAAGTACTGACCAGGCTCAACCCTGCTCAGCTTCAGTGGCCAACCAGTCTTGGGCTACAGGGTGATATGGCTACTGGGTTGGAGCTAAACTGTGCAGAGCTGTGGCCCTCCAGGAATTGAATTTGAGACCAATGATATAGAACAAGTACCTACTCAAAGAATATGTGATTTCGAATGTAGCCATAGGGTTTTCTCTGACTTCAGATGAATTCTTTCTCAAACTCGAGGAAATAGAAGTGGCATGCAAAGATTGATGTTTTAGTGTCCAAAATTGCCCCTCCTTTACTATTATACAGTGCATTATTTGTCCAAAACCATAGTGGACATTCAAGTTTACTCGTTCAATTCTCGTTCAAAACACTTTCAGCATACTCATTGTCCGAATTTGCTTAAACATTTTCATTCACTCATTCTGTGGACTGTATTAGAGGAGTAATGTAGGGAACATTGAATGAGGTTATGAGGTGACAGCCCTGACTTCTTTTGTGGCAATTTGGATTGAATTCTTGTGTTGATTACTTGTTGAACTGTATAAACAGTTAACCAAATAAAAGGGTGTGCATTTAGCCTATATATAATTATAAAAAATGATGTGATTCTGCTTAAATTTTGTCTATACTTCAGGTGCGTTCATGCCATGTTGTAATTACCGTAATTATGAGATTCCAACTTGTAAAAAGCATTCACGTCCTCGTAGAACTTGTAATTACACCTGATAAACTGGGAATGTTCTGAGAGCTACGACTTGCATCACCTGACTGCCGTAGATTCAGCCTATTTAGGCGTTGATAGTTTTGCCAAGTCGAGTAGAACGTCACGTGTTGTCATCTCAACATGGTGTGGATGCAGCATTACAGTTTGATCAAATCTCTCGATTAAATTCAAAACAAACTAACTAACCACAGTAAAGTTAAAATCAAATGGTGATAATCAAATGAATCAACTGGATGTTTGAGACACAGCCTATGATCCAGTCTTCATGTAGGCTTTCTCTGTTTCTTTTTGCTGCATACAGGAAGGTTCCAGCTTGTCAGCACCCATTAATACTGGCCCCCTTCCTCCTCCTCACTCCTGAACAGGTGTCCTCTTCCCAGATGAAAATATACAGTAATTCTCCTGGGAGAGCGAGAAAGCAGAAAGACAGTCAAACAGTGACCCTTCAAAGGTGCACCTTGCAAATGTTCTCAACTTTTATTACTCTTTGGGACACTCACCGCACACAGAGAGACACATTTTCAATGTCAAGCCCAGATAGGCCTCTCATTCTGTGCTCTGAATGTGTCATACAACCCTGGCTGTGAAGAATGAGATTTGTGGACTCAAGAGGGCATGCAACTTTGGTAAAGCTGGAACAGAAAGTTTGATGCAGAATAATAACCACTGCAGAGAGAGGGAAAGATGAGAATATAAGGTCATGAGAGGAGAGATAATTGAAACTTCGATAAGTGAGTGATCCAGTCACTCTAATCCCAGACTATTTCTGACCAAAAGCCAAGCACTTACAAAGACACATTGTATTTTAGCCCAGAGACACAAGTTAACACACACACACACACACACACACACATCCTTATCCAGAACATATTTGATTTAAAAATATGCCATTTAAAGATGTAATCCGAATGTTCTACAAAGTTCCTTCTTTATTATTTGCTTTGTCTCCCCCCAACGTGTTATACCTAATGAGAAATCCCTGACACAGTCTACAGTAGCAGCAAAGGCTGATCACATTACTTTTTAGATAGCAGAAATGTGTGCCAAAAGCTCTGAAACCTCCTCAAAAGCTTCTTTGTTAAAGTCAGGCAGGACAGACTTAAGATCTACCACAGTCCAACAGTCCACTGTTGCCATCTAGTGTTATATCATACACATGGAACATGGAATGGAGATTATCAACCCCAATAATCAACCATGCAGGGGAATGAATGAATCTTGTTAAAAAAAATACTATATGGTATTATAATTGGTCTGAATATAAATGTTTTTCAACCAGGGGCCTCATAAAACTTCCAAGGGGCATCAAAATTACTTAAAATTATGAAGAAAAAAAAAACAAGCATTAAAATAACATGTTTTTTTTTCACTCAATAACGTTTTTTTCTTCCCTCTGAAGAACCATGATATAAGTCAAGCTCTCTCTCTCTCTCTAAAATCATTATCTTTAATCCTTATCCAGTAAATTATAAACAGCTGGAAAAGTCACAAGGCCTTTGAATATTGTTGTGAACAATAGGACTTGGACTCAAAAAGGTTGAGAAGCACTGTGCTAGAGCCTGAATTTTAACACAAATGCTTAACACAACAGCTGTGTTATAAATGCATTGGTTTCCTCATCGTTCCTTCAGTTTGTCTAAATGGCCACAGCTGTGGTCTAATTAAACTAATCTCTCATCAAAATGGCGCTTTTGTTTCCTCTTCCCACCCACTGGAGGCATCCTCACTCACTCTGTTCCTCTCTAGATCCCTATCTCACTGGCTTTCTGTTGTTATACCCCTAATATAGGTCATTTTCAGTTTGCCTAACACTCTTCTGCCAATTCTGTTTCTCTATATTTTGTTTGTTGTGATGCCATCTTTCACTTCAGCCAGGTGGCAGCAGTAACACCACTGAGAATAATGTCTTGGTTGTTAATTCACACCAAGTATATGTACTGTCTTTCTTTGTGCTGGTTGCATAATTTGATGCGTATTGGTCAGAATTTATTTTGAGGTAGTCATTTGATACTGGGTCAGTCATGAAGACCATGAATCATTTTGTGATTTCAGAGAAATGCTTTTTAAGGAGGGGTTTGACAAGCGGAGACAGCATATTTTCATGAATAATGTTTTGAGAATGTGTTCTGTAAATCTTGCACAGGACGGTGTCAAATGAAAGGCAATCCAGACTCCTGATGGAAACACGGATATTGCACATGCGTTTATTTCAGCCTTGTACTGCTGCCATTTTTGATTACTCAGGACTGAATGTGCATGAACTCTCACCTTGAGCTTTTGTCTGGGTGACTGCTTGTGGAAATCGAGGAAGACAAAAAAAGAGTCAATTTACCTCCCTCGTTTTCGTCCGAGCTCACACAATAATTTAACCTTTTATCGGCTAATAAAACGATTCATCCTACACAACACAACACATGAGTAAAATGACAAGTGTTTTATTTCATAAGGTGGATCTGACATGATTTATTGTGTTTTTTAGCTGTTTGAGTATATCCTCTAGTATGAACCCTTCTTAAGAGATTATTACAAGTTCAGGCAAGAATCAAGTCACAAATGCAGCACATGCAGCTTTACCCACTTAACCCTCACACGCCTACTGCATAGGGATTGTAAAATGCTGAGACCATAGCAGGGTTGCAAGAGTACACGTACAAACCTGCTCTAGATTTATTAGCACATGATAACACAATTCAGTAGCAAATCAATAATCAGTAATGATGTCTTAAAGTATTAAATTATTCAAATATTTGTACATGTCTATGTGTGTGAATGCATGTATGAGAAAAACTGTGTCACAGCATGCTGTGGGTTTACTGGACTGTAAGATCCAGACACAGTATTCTGAATAATTCATTGTCTTCATGCCACTTGTAAAACGTCACAGTAGGGAATGTTATGTAGCCTCTATAATCAGCCTACAGCATTCTAACAACATTCCACTTTTTATTATTTTGTGTTTGTTTGTTTTTTTGTATTTTAATAAATGATGGAAGACTTATCCTGTAGCCTACATCTTAAAGCTGCTCTCAGTAAGTATTGAATTTTAAACGTCAAATTGGCATACTACTCTCCTTTTGTCATAATTGCAAGAGTAGTAAGCTAGCATATTATTTCAAATTAAACTGTTTAGCTGACTTTTTTGTCCCAATAGTTTCAGTGGTTTTGGACTAGACGCATTCAATTTGTTTAATGCTGCTTCTTCAACGATGTTGTTTGTGTATCTTTTGTTGCTTTTTCATACCACACATTCACATATGGGGCTTTTTTGGGTTCAATCACAATAAATTGTTGTATGATATTGGCGGTTCATTATTAGTAACTCTGTCACCTGTTTGAGAAGGCTATAGTCATGTGATGTCAATTTGGTAGCGCCCATGAGGGGGCGACCCGCTCCACATAGAATAATACAGCTTTTTTTTCTAGAAGACTGGTTTGTCTGGAGGTCACAGACAAAAACGATCATTATTAGTGTCCACACAAACAGATGATAAAGTTCTGTGTATTATGAGCGTGCTATTCAGTTATGTCTTCTACCACTTTAAATGCTGGAGCTCTTTAAAGCTGGGTGGATTTTGATTGAATTTGAATGTTTTTCTATCAACTAGGGGAAAGAAATGATTCTGAAAGTGATTTCAACACATTATTTCTTTAAGTGTAAAACATTTTATTTAGCTTTTTTTTCCCTGTGTATATACCTTTAACTGGTTGTTTTACCTTTAACAATTCAAAAGTTCTGGGTTGGTTATACTATCCTTCTGTAACAGTCATTAGAAAAAAAATTGTTCCCCTCATACACTTTAGTTTCCTGATCAATAAAGCAATAACAAAAGCTACTGATGAGTACCTAAAATCAAGCAGTATTTTAATAGAGTGCAAAAGTGTCACTTGTAGAGGGCACTATCAAAGAAACCTTGTTTTTTATTTCTCACACTTGAAATAACAGGATTATCTGGTTGTATTTAGCCTGAAGTGAGGGATGGTGAACTTATTAGTCAGAGTTAGAGACAGCTAGGGGAGGGAAAGGAAAAGAGAGACAGGCAGAGAGGGAGGGAGAGAAAGGACATCCGTGGCTCAGAGGGGGGTTACATACACATCACTCGGGTGAGGGAAGCAGAGTAGGAAGAGAGAGGAGGGGGAAAGGAACGACAAAAAGAAGGAAAGGACACTACACTGTTTGTTTTCGTTTTTATTGCTTTGTATTAGAGGGGGGGAAATGAACGGATAAATCTTTGTAAACGGCTTCCATCTTTATTTGAAGGAAAACAGTGGGCCACGAGGAAGACGCTGGAGTTTGAAGTGATTTGAGCGTTTGTGGCTTACTTTCTAAAGCAAAGGGAGACACGCGGTTTGCAGTCCTGTAAGTGCTTAGCGACTTGATATATTGTGACAAGACCAAGCGGAAAAAACATCCAAATATAGAGGTAACTTTATATGACTTTAGAAATAGTATTAAGAAGTTGCCAAATGCCATTGAGTTCTGCGAGAAGGAATAAAAAATAGCTCTGTTAGTGGCCTTTTAAATCACACTGCTCAGCAAACACGGGGAAGAAAACCTGATCTACTGTATCAGCCGGTTATTCACCGAATATTAGCGGACTATGGCGGCGTTAACAAGTCCAGAATCGAGCCAGCAAGCTCGCGTTTACTTCCAGACGCCCCCCGGTTCAACCGAAGAAGCCGAGACCCCGGTCCGCAAGCAAGGACGGGTCACAGTAAAATACGACCGGAAAGAACTGAGAAAGAGACTTAATTTGGAAGAGTGGATTATTGACCAGCTAACGGATCTCTACGACTGTGAGGTAAGACTCGTTTGTGAAACCTTCTAAAAGTAAGCTAGACGAGACTATGAATCGTTTAAACAGTAGGCTATATTGGGGTAATAATAAACAAAAGCCGTGATAAAGTCACCAGCAGGTCAAGAACCCATTGTATATCATAGATAAGTGCGCTTTGTAATTGCAGCAGTGCTTAAGTTATCTTGCGCAGCCACTGTAACATATTACGAGCCAATGGGCAGAATGTAAGTGTGTTTAAGCGTCAATCTGCAGTTGACCCACATTCTATTTCCAGAGACTTTAAGCGCTAAAGGGAGAGCGCATTAGTTACTACGTTAACTGTATTTCGACTTCTTATCTACCTGCGCGAGTGCGCGTTATCCCGTAACTAGCGGTGACGTCACAAACACGTACGCCGTGATCGAAAAAGATCGGTGAGGCGATGGAACTCGTGTAATAGTTAAAGGGGTCATATGATGCGATTTCAATTTTTCCTTTCTCTTTGGAGTGTTACAAGCTCTTGGTGCATAAAGAAGATCTGTAAAGTTGCAAAGACGGTCTCAAATCCGAAGAGATATTCTTTATAAAAGTTAAGAGTCAACCACTCTTGTTCTAACACGCCCCCACATGTCTAGTCACGATGTGGGAAGATTTGCATAACGCCGCCCAAATGTTCACGCAAAGAAAGAAGGCGTAACTTTTATTCTCCCTGTATGTTGTTGCCGCTGCCGCCACCATGTCATGAAGGCGCTGTGTGTTTCGTTGTGAAAGCGAAACTACTTTGTTTGGCCTTCCAAAAGAGGACGATATCTGCTTCGTCATGCCTGGAGCTGATCCGTGCTGGCCGTTGAGGAAATAAATCAACTTCACACTGTGGATCGCCGGATCGGCTTTCACCGTGGATGAAGCGGAGTCCAGCCCAGAAATGGTCGTCACATGTTGTTGCCGCAAGCCCGCTGGACGCTCCTTCGTCGTATCCGCCGGCCACGCCGTTCTCAAGCCCGCCCGCCTCCGCACACTCTAGCCACTGGCCTCTTCTCACTCAAGCCCGCCCATCGCCGCTCACTCAAGTCGGCCTCCGCTCACTCTAGGCCGCCACCCTCCGCTCACTCTAGGCCTCCGGCCTCTGCTCACTCTAGCCCGCCGTGTGTTTAGTTGTGAAAGCGAAACTACTTTGTTTGGCCTTCCAAAAGAGGACACGACTAGAAATCAGTGGTTTAGGTGTATTTACAACACTGTTCCAGAACACTTCAATGTGAAAGCGAAACTACTTTGTTTGGCCTTCCAAAAGAGGACACGACTAGAAATCAGTGGTTAAGTTGTATTTACAACACTGTTCCAGAACAGTTTAACCCAAATATTCAGATGTGTGCTGCACATTTTATGACTGTTTCCTGATCCTGGGAGAGTAGACTACAATGCCGGCTGTTCTGACTCACAGACTGTAACAGTGTTGTCACGGTACTAAAATTTCAGTATTCGGTACCAATATCAGTGAAAATCCAAGGTTCTCGGTACCAATTTCGGTACCAAAGCAAAACACAAAACCATGCTAATTAAAAAATGTGACTGCTTTAATTTAATCCAAAATGTGTACATATTTAATTTTAAAGGGCTTTTGAAAACCTAGAGCTATTCAGTCAAGAATAACATCTAAGTTAGCTAAAAAAAGAAAAAAAAGAACTTCTGATATGACAAAAACAATGTTAACCATTTGTACATTCTCTAACATGCATATTTTAGATTCACAATTCATTTAAAAGCCTCTGGTGTGTAAAAATAGTAAATATCATCATGTCCTCCTGTTTTTTTTTACCCTAATAAAAGTTATAGGAGCATTAAATAGTTAATAAAGAAACTTCATTCTAATGCTCATTATATTAGCGTTAGCCGCGCTTATGCTAACGATTAACTACTCTAATAACAGCGTTCATTTCAATCCGACATTCAAATTAAAATATTGAATAATATGCAGTGTTCCCCCCAGGACGTGCACTCTATTTGTGGTGGCATATATATGCAAATTCATTCTCTGCCAGCAGAAGACGCTTGTAGAGCTCGAGAGATCAGATTCCCCCGCTAAAGCTGTACACAAAGCAGCGCTCGTCTCACAAACTGCTCAGGCATTACAGGCAAGATGAAATGAAAATGACATCCATAATTTTCTGAAGACAGTCGTTTCCTTCAGAAATACAGTGATATAAAAACACCCGCACAGGGTTTCGACTTTGACACGTGCAATGCTCATGTTTATTCAATGAAGTCAAAGCCTTTTGGAAAATCGGGCAGCCACAAATAAATCAATGTATGGCAAACACAAGATCTAAATGTTAAAAATTAAAATTAAACTTATCTGCTTGAACTCTTTCATTTGATCTGGGTGTCTTTAAAGTGTTTTGTTAGTTTGGGCACTCTATTTGTGGTGGCATATATATGCAAATTCATTCTCTGCCAGCAGAAGGCGCTTGTAGAGCTCGAGAGATCAGATTCCCCCGCTAAAGCTGTACACAAAGCAGCGCTCGGCTCACAAACTGCTCAGGCATTACAGGCAAGATGAAATGAAAATGACATCCATAATTTTCTGAAGACAGTCGTTTCCTTCAGAAATACAGTGATATAAAAACACCCGCACAGGGTTTCGACTTTGACACGTGCAGTGCTCATGTTTATTCAACGAAGTCAAAGCCTTTTGGAAAATCTATTTGTGGAGGTGAGTTTTGATATTGTGGCGGTCCGCCACAAATAAATCAAAGTATGGGAAACACAAATACAAAAAATGTAAATGAAACTTACCTGCTTGAACTCTTTCATTTGATCTGGGTGTCTTTAAAGTGTTTTGTTAGTTTGGTGTGTTTCCTTGTTTTGATGTCACCACGTCTCAGTGCTTTTATGAAGAGAGAGCATCTGCGCACCTTTCGGTTAGCGCATCAAGAACCGGGTTGACCGGGTACTTGGTACCACCGGTACTTAAAAAAACCTGGTACCGTAACATTTTCATTTTTTAGTACCGACTTGGTACCGAAGTACCGGGTCTTTTGACAACACTAGACTGTAAGTACGTTTTTTTTATATTTAAGGAATTTGCCACTGACGAGTCAAACGCGAGTTTTGAGCAGTGTAGGGTAGCACTTGTTGTTTATCATTTCTCCGATCTCAAATGCAGACATGGTTTTATGTTTACGCGGCGCGATGCAACGCAACGTGTAAAAAGACAGTATAAGTCATTATAATCCGTAATTATGTCCCCACTGGATGCAACAAATGCCTCGTTTATAATGGGTTTTAATGTTTTTGTCTCGTCGCTCCAGCCGGACATCACAGTATGGTAAGGGGCGTAACATTTCCGTCACACCCTTGAGGTATTCGGCCAATCACAACGCACTGGATAGCTGGCCAATCAGAGCACACCTTGCTTTTCAGGCCGATGAGCTTTATAAAAATCGATGCGTTTCAGAAAGGCGGGGCATAGAGGAGAAACAATAATGTACAGTATGTGGAAAATAATGTTTTTTTTTTAACCTTAAACCGCATTAAACACATTTCATTACACCAAATACACAAAATAATGTTCTTTTTAGCAACATCATATGACCCCTTTAAATATTTTATATGGCGCGTAATTTAAATGAAAAAGCGTCTAAAGTCTGGAAAATGTGAGAAGGACCATACACCGTCTCGGCAGGGAAATTGTAGAACTGTGACGAAGGCTTAGGCTACTCCTGTCTCTTGTAGCACTTCGAAAAAAAAAAAAAAGATGAACAGTATAGGTATAAGTGGTTTGGTATAGTCCTCATGTCTCTCGTACCCTCCCCCAGTCTATAGACCAATTTGGAGTAGACGTCACAGTTATGTCACTTGCAGCTGCGCGCGCATAGTGGTGGCAGAAAAACACTGAGAACAAGTGGAGGGAAACGGGTAAAATCCATGGAATAAGATAAAAAACGTATTATGCCTTTGGATGTCAGAATCGGAGTGCAAATCATTTTTATATAACTGTCGTCAAAGACACCATTTGAAGCTAAATGCAGACGTTTAAACGGATAGCCTATGGATGTAACCTGCTATGATTACCCTACTTTTAAAGCATAAATTTGATTTAAACAATAGGTCTATATAATATTCATATAGGGAACATATTGTATTAGCCCTACAGTTGAAATACATGCATGAAATACTATTTAAACCTATAACATTTTATATAACATTTACCTATTTTATCTCACAATTCTGACTTTTTTTCTTGCTAATGCAAGTTTATATATCCTAGTTCGGACTTTATAACTTTATTCAAGTCAACAATTGCGAGTTTGTCAATTCTGAGGGACAAAAAGCCAGAAGTACTGTATGGGATTATAAACAAAAAAAAAAGAATGACGAGTTGATATTTCTCACCAGAATTGTGAGATATAATCTCGGAATTGCAAGAAAAAAAGTCAGAATTTTGAAAAATAAACTCAAAATTAAAATTTTCATTATTTTATTCCATGGCTTGAATAGACTGCTACGTTAAAACTGTCATTTTCTGCCACCAGATAGGCACCGCCCACAAAAAACGTCATCACTGTTTGCAAACACTGAAATTGATCTATAAACCACACAGCCAGAAACAAACGTATACCCGCTTGCTTCCTCACATTATCCAAACCCATGTCAGCATGTTAAATCTGCTTTGCCATAGCTTTTTAGTAAACAATAATGCATGACGTAGTAGTCCCTTGAGAGGCTTAATCCTTTTCTTTTAAAACTACTTAAATTGTCAGAAGCAAGATACCAGTTTTGCAGTTTTGGTGTGGAAGGAGCCGGCGTGGCATAGGCTACTGCCATAGGGCGAAGCAATCAAGTCATTATAATCTCACTTTCCGCACAGCAAGTGTTTGGTTTCCCTGGATATGGAGTGTATTTTAAAAGACTAGACAGAAACGCTTCAGTAACAATGTTACAGATGTGGCTTGGTGTTAAGGAAAATTGCTGTGGATAATAAAAGGGAGGAGAAAACAAAAATACAGACTGGGAGGGTGAAGCAT